GAGGACCGGACAGGGGATGGGGGAGCTGAGGCCAGCAGTGCTGGCCTCGGCTCCCTGACCCACTCCCTGCAAGAGGCAGAACACCAGCAGCATGGAGCTTTAGGTGGTGGCACTCCATCCCACCTCCATCATTCTTGAGGGCAATTGGCTAGTTTTTCTTATAAATGTTTGGCATACGCTGAATATTAATGCACTGCAAAAAAGTACCCTTTAAAGAAAACCTGATGCACTTGAGGAAATGAACCTGTGCAAAGGAATCGGGGGACATGTCTTGATGTTTCACAAACTGGGCTTAGTGATAGCAAACTTCAGAAAATGGTGATTAGATGGCTGTCGTCCCATCTGAAATAACCAGCAACAACGAAGAGATTCCTGAAAGATTATGACATTTCCTTCTGTGTTCTTACCTTTGTGGCATAGGTAGGTTTATCTATGGCTTCATCTCCTATGAAAAAGTCTAGATCATCAACTCCCTTCATTACTCTCCTCTGGGCTTGGTCACCTACTTTGGCTGACTCTCTGATTGCAATACCTAAATAAATAAAAATCTATTAAAGATAAGAAGTGAAATGCTTTAATAGAGAACGACTATGCAAGAAACTAAAGCTTCTTCCTCTGCTAGTTTAAATATGTCAATATAGCTAGCCTGTTAGGGTACATTTCCAATGCCATACACAGGGATGTGACTGTTCATCTTTGATTAACATTGATACAATTTTGTGACCATACATCGCTTTAAAAAAAAAAAACAAAAAAAAAACAGTGTTCTGTTATACACTACAGCCATCAGTAGAACAATATACTTCTGAAGGTCTAATCCAGTAAACACTCTTGAAGCCAGGAAGTGGCAAGGTTGAGAATTAAGAGAAAGGAAAAGAAAAGAAGAAAGAATACACTGAAATGTTAAGTTACTGAGGTATTATCCTGGTTGGTAGGAAAGAAGTCAATTTGCAGCCCAACAGAGAAGCCTATGGAAGGCTTGCCACTGGCCAAGAGAAACTATCCCTAAAATCACTAACTGAAGGCTGATGTAGGCAACAAAAACCATATAGGGCAAACTCTAAATAAAAATGGAACAAACTACGGTAAGACGCAAGCTGTGTACAGTCTTGTTCCAGTCAGCCAGACACACACACAACCGCCTGTAGGGAACGCACAAGGTATAGACTAATCGAACTAAAGACTACTGCAGAGCCTGAACAAGTTTCCAAAACCCAATCAAAAACTTCATGAACAGCCTACTTTCATGAACTGCTGGCTAATATAATGTTTAAAGCAAATATTTCTTATCTCGCTGCATATTTAATAGAAGACGAATGTGGTGCCTATCTTCAAGAAAGGGAGGAAAGTGGATCCAGCTAACTATAGGCCCATCAGCCTGACTTCTATCCCAGGGAAGATCTTAGAAAAGTTTATTAAAGAGGCCATCCTTAATGGACTGGCCGACGCCAACATCCTGAGGGATAGCCAGCACGGGTTTGTTGCGGGTAGGTCTTGCTTGACCAATCTCATTTCCTCCTACAACCAGGTGACTTATCACCTGGACAAGGGAGAAGAGATTGATGTCATATATCTTGACTTCAAAAAAGCCTTCGATCTGGTATCCCATAATCACCTCTTGGCGAAACTGGCCAATTGTGGCCTTGGGTCCACCATGATCCACTGGCTGGGAAATTGGCTCCGTGGTTGGACCCAGAGGGTAGTAATTGATG